CCCCCCACGCCCTTCCCGTCCCTGCCCTCTCATCCTGCCCCTCCCCTCCGGTCCCCCCGCCCTTCCTGGCCGTCCCGATCCCGATCCCGGTGCCGATCCCGGTCCGTTCCCGGTCCCGCCTGTACCCGTGGCCTCGAGGTTCCCCCGGCCCCACCGGCGCCGCCGCCGCCACCGCGCCCCGCCCCCCCGCGGTGGCCGCCGGTCCCCCCGCCCCCACCGGGACCGCCCCTCGTGTCACCACCCTCCGTGCTGCCCCCCGTGTTACCCCCGTGTCCCTCCCGTGTGTCTCCCGTGTCCCCCAGCCCAATGCCGTATCGGCTGTCCCCCCTTGGAGCGGAGACGGACACAGGCACAGACATGGACACGGCTGGGGTGGGGGACAGGGTGAGGGGGCGTGGGGACAAGGACAGGAGCTGAGGGAGACACGAGACAGGGACATGAGGACACCAGGACACATGTGGGCATACGGAGGTGACATGGAAAGAGCAATGGGCAAGGACACGGGACAAAAACTGTGGGACATGGGCGACACGGGGACAACATGGGAGAACACAGCACTGGGCTAGGGGGGAACACGGGACAGGGAGATAAGGACACAGGAGACATGAGGGGACACAGGACAGGGACATGGTGGCATGGGGGGATGCAAGGGGACACAGAAGGGACACAAGGGGACACGGGGGTTGAGTGTGACCAGGACCYGCTGTCCTGCCACATCCGTGTCCCCATGCCCCATGGCGGATCCCGGATGTCCCATGCCATTACCTTCTCCCTGGAAACAGGGAGATATCACCCTGATGTCACCATGTCCCCCACCAGCTGCCAGCTGGGCCCAATCAGTGTCTCCACAGCTGGTGGCACTTCTGGGGAGTTTCCATAAATCCTGGAGCCGCTTGGCAGGGCTAGAGCTCAGGGCCGGTGAGTGGTGCTGGGGTGGGTGATATTGGGGGTGTCCCTGTGGGATCACCTGGCCACAAGGACACTCTGGGAATTGTGACAATAGTCACTTGGATCCTGCTTTTTCCAGGACAACCAGGATCTGACATGGCCACAGTGACGTGGTGGGCGGTGGTCGGCAGGGTCATGGCAATCACGGTGCTGCGGGTGACAGTGGTCGGGGCAGCCACAGGGTGAGGAACTGGGAACGGAAACTGGGAATGGGGAGCGGGAGCTGGGATGGAGAATAGAAACTGGGAATGGGGAATAGGAACTGGGATTAGAAACTGGGAATGGGGGAGGAATGGGAACTGGGAATGGGTGTGGGAGCTGGTAAAAGAACTGGGAAATGGGGGAGCAAAATGGAGATTGGGGATTGGAACTGGGAATGGGGGCTGGGAGCTGGGATGGGTGCCAGAAGCCAGGATGGATCCTGGGATGGGTGCTTGCACGGAGGGGGAGCTGGGATGCGTGCCAGAGTGGGGCTGGATGTGGTGGGTGACGAGTGGGAGCTGGGATGGATCTGGGATGGATCTGGGATGAATGCTGGGTGCTGATGGATCCCAGATGGACACCAGATGGACCCCRGGTGGATCCTGGGTGGATCCAATGTCCCCACAGGCGCTGGTGCCAGCGGACGGTGCTGGTGACAGAGCAGGAGGAGGTGACGCCGCGGCGCGAGGCTGCGGTGCCTTGTCCCAGTTTGTACCAGTACAGCCTGGCTGGGTGGCGGCTGGACCGGGACCGCACACGGCGGGAACAWGGGAATTCCCCCGGGAACACTGGCACCGAGCCCCCCAGGGACGCTGGCAGTGACCCCACCCTCTGCTACATCTATCGGTGAGCCAAGGGGGATGTGGCACAGGATGACACTGGGTGACACTGGGTGATACTGGGATCCACCCACAGCCCCCCGGAGACACGGCCGGTGGTCCGGAACCGCACGGAGCATGGCTGCTGTCCTGGCTGGAGCGGCACCCGCTGCACGGAGGGTACGGRGGCACACGAGGAGGGGCAGACAGGGATGTCCCCACTGTGTCATTCCCACTGGGAGCTAGGGTGGGAGCTGGGATGGAAGCTGGGATGGGAGCTGGGGTTGGAGCTGGGGTGGCAGCCATTCCCACCACGTCATTCCCAATGTGAAATTCCCACTGTGCCATTCCCGCCGAGTGCCAGGAGTCAGGATGGGTGCTGGGCTGTGTGCCACCCCCTTTGGAGTCACCCACTGTCTCTGTCCCGCAGGCCCTAAGTCCCTGGGCCRCTGTTTTGGCACGTGGCAGTGCCAGGATGGCGCTGGTGGCCACAACAGCAGTGCCATGAGCCGCGCTGAGTGCTGCCGGCACCCCTGGGGACACAGCTGGCGCCTTGGGGACACCGGGGACGCCAGGAGTCCCTGCCTGCCCTGTACACACCTGCCCTTGGGTGGAGACGGGGGGTCCCTGCACCACCGTAGCCCCCCAGCCACTTGCCAGGCCTGGGCTGGGACGCGCTTCCGCACCTTCGACGGGCGGCACTTTGGCTTCGCYGGGACCTGCCGGTACAGCCTGGCCACGGCCACCGATGGCACCTGGGACATCACCATCGGCCTTGGACATCCCCCGGTACYGGCAACAGGAGGGAGGGCACAGGGGGTCACTCAAGGTCACCTCTGGTGTGGAATGGGGCTGGGATGGACGTCAGGAACGGGGAGGGGTGATGGCACCTGGGATGTCACCATCAGTCCTGGCCACCGGACACTGGGAGGGGTGGATGGAATGGGTCACTCAGGGTCACTGGTCCTGTCCCCGGGGGTGGGATGWGGGCTGGGAACAGGAACAAGTACTGGGAGCTGTGATGAGAGCCAGGACGGATGGGAACAGGGATAGGGCTTGGGATGGGTGCTGGCACACCCATGAGTCCTGTCCCCATCTTTGGTGGCTGTGACATACCTGAGTGTCCTGGTGCCACCCCCGGTGACCCGGCACTGTCACAGGTGCTGCACATGACCTTTGGGACGGACACGGTGGTGGCCCAGGGACGGAATGTGTCGGTGAATGGGGAGGCAGTGCCAGAGGGACGTCCCTACCTGCATAAAGGTGAGGCCCCCCAGGTCACCAAGCTGGGGCAGGGTGGGGACAAGCTCYGGTGACACCAGAAGGCATCAGGATATGGTGAAGGATCAGCTGTGGTGGCAGAGCTGCCAGCGGGATCCCTGTCCCCATCCTGTCCTCATCCATCCCCATCCCCTCATGCAGGGCTCGSTGTCACCTGGCCAGGTGACTGGGTGGCCGTGGCCAGCAGCCTGGGCGTGCGGGTGGCCTGGGACGGGCACCTGGCAGTGACAGTGACAGCAGAGCCTGAGCTGCGTGGTGGCACCTGGGGGCTCTGTGGCACCTACACCGACGACCCTGCAGGTGAGTGCCACCTGTCTGGTGCCACCCCCATCCCACCTGGGGGGCCGGGGGGACACCCCACATGCCCTCCCTCCCTGTGCCCCCAGATGACTTCATGCGCCCTGATGGGGACATCGCCGTCTTCGCTGCTGCCTTTGGCAATGCCTGGAAGGTGCCAGAGGCTGGCATGGAGGTACCTGAAGGGTGGGGTGACCCCCTTGCCCGTTTGGGGGTTCCCGAGGGTCGCCCCCTCGCTGAGGGACCCCTGGCTCAGCCCCCGTGCAGGGACGTGCTGGAGGGTGGCACCAGGTGTGGGCCAGGTGAGGTAGCACCGGCAGTGGCCACGTGCGGGTGGCTGCTGGCCCAGCCCTTCCAACAGTGCCACGGAGAGGTCAGCGTCACCAGGGGACCGGGGGGGTTGGGGTTTTCCGGGGGATCCTTAAGGGTCCTGGGGAGGTCCTAGGGGGTCACAAGGACATCCGGGGGGTCCTGGGGGTCCTGAAGGGTTCTGGAATGTCCCAAGGTTCTGGGGTCCTGAGGGTCCCAGGGGATTCTGGGAGGTCCTGGAAGGTCCAGGAAATTCTAGGAACTTCTTGGGCATCTGGAGGGAGGTGCTGGGGAGTCCTGAGAGTCGTGGGTGTTCTGAGGGGTCTTGGAGGGTCCTCACTGCCACCCCCACCCCTTCCAGGTGGACCCTGCTGGGTTCTATGCAGCGTGTCTGGCACTGCTGTGTGGGGACGGGGACCCCGTGTCACCCCCCGCTCCCCTGTCACCCCTCTCTCCCTTGTCACCCCCCGGTCCCCCGCCCCCCGCCGCCTGCGACACCTTTGCCGCCTACGCCCGAGAGTGCTCCCGCCGCCAGATCGATGTCCCTTGGCGACATCCCAGCTTCTGCGGTAGGAATTGAAGGGTGTCCCCCCCGMACCGTTCCCTCGGTGCCGCCGGTGCCACCGCCGTGTCGTCGTCATCATCCCGTCCCCCCCGCCCCCTCCACCCGCGCAGAGCGCCACTGCGACGCGGGGCAGCGCTTCTCCGACTGCGTGTCCCTGTGCCCGGTCACCTGTGTCACCGCGAGCAGCGCCGAGCACGGGACGTGCCACCGCCACTGCCACAGCGGCTGCGAGTGCGGCCCGGGTATGGCCCGGGACGGGGAGAGCTGTATCCCCACCGCTGCCTGCCCCTGCCACCACCGGCGACAGCGCTACGAGCCCGGCCAGAGCATCCGCCAGCGCTGCAACCGCTGGTGGGTGGCACCGCGGTGACAGCAGTGGCACCGGGCTGGCACCCACTGAGGGGGGAACCCGCTGATGGGCAGACTCAGGGTCCCCTGTGGCGTGTTCCCCCCATCCTGGGGTCCCTGTGGCATGTCCCCCTTCGTCCCAAGTTCTCTCTGATATGGCCCCCACTATCCCAGTGTCCCCTGTGGCGTCTCCCGCTACCCCGGGGTCCCCTGCAGTGTCCCTCCTCCACCCCAGTGGCCCCCCGGAGGTCCCCCCCGGTGACTGGTGTACCCGGTGTCCCCAGCACGTGCGAGGGTGGGCGCTGGCGCTGTGACCAGCAGCGGTGCCCGGCCGAGTGCGCGGTGCTGGGGGGACGTCACTTCGTCACCTTCGACCGCCGCCGCTTCTCCCTCCCGGCGACCTGTGCCCACACCCTGGTGGAGGTGAGGGGACGCGGAGGACATCGAGGGGGCGTGGAGGTGGCCGCAGTGGTGATGGGGCAGTGCTCTGGTAGCAGCCATGATGTTGCGTTGGTGATGGAGTGCTGGACGCAGTGGTGGCCACGGTGGCAGCGCTCTGTCTGGGGAGTGTCACCGTGTCTTTGCCCCCCAGGATTTTGTGGGGGGGCGGCTGCTGATCACGGCCGAGCAYGAGCCCTGTGACAGCCACCGGCCCCTCGGCTGTGCCCGCACCCTCACTGTCACCACCAGCCGCACCACAGCCCGGCTCCACGGCACAGGTGACGCACCTGGACAGGACTGGGACCGGATCCAGGACAGGGAATGGGACTGGGATCATCCTTGTACCCTGGTGGGGTTGTGGCGGCCGTCCCAGTGCCTGTCCCCAATGTCCCTGTGGATCTCATCCCAGTGCCCATCCCCCGTGTCCCCACAGTGGTGGGGGACATCCCAGTGTCTGTTCCGAAGTCCCCGTGTCAGTGGGAGCCATTCCAGTGCCTGTCCCCGATGTTCCCACGGCGACGGGTCCCACCCCGGTGGCCACCCCATGGTGCCGCTGCTGTCCCCCTCAGGGGAGGTGACAGTGGCCGGACGGGAGGTGACGCTGCCCTTCTCCGGTGCCGAGCTGAGCATCCGCCGCGCGTCCTCGGCATTCCTGCACCTGCAGGTGCCCGACGCCCACCTGCTCTGGGGCCTGAGGACCCCCGACACCTTCGTCACCCTCCAGCCCGCCATGGCCGGAACGGTGAGTGGGACCACCGGGATCCGCGGGGTGCTCCAGCGGGATGGGAATCCAGTGGGATGAGGGTCCCCTGGGCTCCGCCCTGCTCCGGGCAGGTGCGGGGGCTCTGCGGGACTTTCAACGGGGACCAGCGGGACGAGTTCACGACGCCGGAGGGAGACGTGGAGCCGGGAGTCGCCGCCTTCGCCAACGCCTTCCGGGCGGCCGGAGCCTGCCCGGCGCTGGGCCCCAGCATTCCCGATCCCTGCGACGGCTTCCCCGGGAGCCGGGAGCGCGCCGAGGCCGCCTGCGCCGTGCTCATGGCGCCGGCCTTCCAGGTGAGGGGCCCGGCACGGGGGTAAGCGCGAACAGGTGACATCGCTGTGACAATGTCCCCTCCGGCACAGCCGTGTCACCTCGTGGTGGATCCGGAGCCGTTTCTGGAGCTGTGCCGATGGGATGTGTGTTCCTGCCGGGAGCAGGAGCAGGAGCGGTGCCTGTGCCCGGCACTGGGCGCCTACGGCCGGGAATGCGCCCGGGAGGGGATGGAGCTGGAGTGGAGGAACCGGAGCCTCTGCGGTGGAATGGGGATGGGGATGGGAATGGGAATGGGGATGGGAATGGGAATGGGGATGGGAATGGGAATGGGGATGGGAATGGGAATGGGGATGGGATGGAGAAAGGGATGGGGGTGGGGATGGGGATGGGATGGGGACGGGGACGGGGATGGGGATGGGACTGGGATTGGGATTGCAATTGGAATTTCAATTGGAATTGGCATGGAGTGGGATGGAGAAAGGAATGGGAGTAGGATTAGGCAGGATGGGGATGGGATTGGATTGGGATGGGATGAGGTGACATGTGTCCCCCCAGTGACCTCCCCATGTCCCCCCAGATGAGCCGTGTCCCGGGGGACAGCAGTACCGGGACTGTGGGGGTCCCTGTGGCCGTTCCTGCTCAGAGCCCCCCGGAGCCAGTGACTGTCCCCCTCCAGACACCCTCTGTGTCCCCGGCTGTCGCTGCCCSCCGGGACTCCTGCTGACCCAGGGGGGCCAGTGCGTGCCCCCTGCTGCCTGCCCTTGTCCCCGTGGCACCCGCCTGTACCCCCCYGGCGCTCGCATCCACCGTGGCTGCGAGGCCTGGTGGGTCCTGGGGAAATTTGGGGGTCACTGGAAGGTTTGGGGAGGCCGGGGAGGTCACCCACAGGGCGGGGGTCACCCAGGCAGAATGTGACAGTGACGGTGATACCTAATGAAAGCCCCTCCGGCCCGGTATGATGCCCCGTGGGACGGGGAGGCTTTCATCCCATGTCCCCCCGTGAGGACAGTGACAGGGCCCTGGTACCCCCAATTAGAGCGGGGCAACCCTGGTTAGGGATCTCAGTGGGATGGGGGTTCCTGGGGGATGGGGGTGCAGAGACCACAGGGAGGGGGTCTGGTGGGATTTGGGTGCTGGAACATGAGGATGGGGTTGTGAGGACCCCGTTGTTGGCGTGGGATTTGGGGGGATGAAGGGAGGGCATGTGAGGTCGATGGGTTGGGGTGCTGGAGTATGGGGACAGGGATGGTGGCATGGGGGTCTCAGCAGAATGTGGGGGCCTGGGGCTTGGGGGACCCCGATGAGGGGGGCTTGGAGGGTTGGAGGGTGCTGGAGATGGAGGTGGGGCCCCAGTGGGGGGGCTCGGTGGAATTGGGGCTCTGGGAATGGGGGTGCAGGGACCCTGCATGGGGAGCTCAGCCGGACGGGGTCCCTCACCGCCTCCCCGGCAGTGTGTGCACAGCGGGGTCGTGGCGCTGCGTCCCCGCCCCGTGTCCCCCGGCTCCGCGCTGTCCCCCGGGGCTGCTGCACGCACCGGGGTCCTGCCTGCGCCGCTGCGACCCCGCCGAGCCCTCCGGCACCTGCGGCGGCTCCGCCGACGGCTGCGTGTGTCCCCCCGGGACCCTCTTCCTGGTGGGTGACACTTCGGGGCGGGGGAGGTGGGGATGTGAGACTCCCCCCTCATCCCCCTCACTGCGGTCTGGTCGCAGGACGGGCGCTGTGTGTCACCGGAAGAATGTCCCTGTCACCATGGCGGGCAGCTGTACCCKCCCAACGCCACCATCGCCCGCGACTGCAACACCTGGTGGGGCCCTCGGACACCCCCAGGATCCCCCGCACCCCTGCAAGCCCCTCAGACCCTTGCCAGACCCTCGCGGACACCCTCAGCCCCCTATCAGTCCCCGCGGTGGCACAGAGCCTGTCCCCGCAGCGTGTGCCGGCGACAGCGATGGCACTGCGGGCGTGAGGAGTGCGCGGGGACCTGCGTGGCCACGGGGGACCCCCACTACATCACCTTCGATGGCCGCGCCTTCACCTTCGCCGGGGACTGCGAGTACCTGCTGGCGCGCGAGGCCACCGGGCTCTTTGCTGTCACCGCCGAGAATGTCCCCTGTGGTGCCACCGGCGTCACCTGCACCAAGTCCGTGGTTGTGGCCATGGGGAACACCGTGGTGCACATGCTGCGGGGTGAGGGGGGACATAGGGGGAGGCAGGGGACGCGAAGGACACGGGTACCTGTGGGGGTCACCCGCAGTGACATCCGGACTCAGTTGCAGCAGGGTGGGGGCTGCCGGGGATGGGGACACGGGAGACAACACGGGGTGTCATGGAGGGCCATGGGGCGACACGGAGGGAGACGGGGAAGTGGTAGGGTGACTCACAGTGACATCCCACAGCAGGGTGGGGTATATGCGGGGAGCGTGGGGGGACACGGTGGATATGGGCGGACACGCGAGGATGTGGGGGGCCACGGGCGACACATGAAAGTGACCCTCGGTGCCGCGCCGGCAGGGCGGGAGGTGACAGTGAACGGGGTGGCCGTGCGACCCCCCAAGGTGTTCGGAGGGTCGGGGCTGGCCCTGCAGCGTGCGGGGCTCTTCCTGCTGCTCCTCACGCGCCTGGGGGTGGCCGTGCTGTGGGACGGAGGTGAGACCCCGGGGGGACACGGGGGGTTCTGGGGGTGGCCGTGCTGTGGGACGGAGGTGAGACCCCGGGGGGACACGGGGGGTTCTGGGGGTGGCCGTGCTGTGGGACGGAGGTGAGACCCCGGGGGGACACGGGGGGTTCTGGGGGTGGCCGTGCTGTGGGACGGAGGTGAGACCCCGGGGGGACACGGGGGGTTCTGGGGGTGGCYGTGCTGTGGGACGGAGGTGAGACTGTGGGGGAGGTACGGGTGGGAGGCTCTTGGGGCGTCCTTGGTGCCGGTGGAGCCATGGCGGTGTCACTATGGGGAGTCCACCGTGTCACCACGGGGGAGCCACCATGCAGGGTCCTTGGSGTCACATAGGGTCCGCAGTGCTGGTGGCACCACGGAAGGGTGACCGGGGGGAGTGCCATCGGTCCTGGGGTGGGTGGGTCCCTGGTGCCATGGTGCCACCCTCGGTGCCTGCAGGGACCCGCGTGTACGTGCGCGTGTCCCCGCGGCTGCGCGGCCGCCTGGCCGGGCTCTGTGGAAACTTCGACGGCGACGCCGAGAACGATTTCGGGAGCCGGGACGGGGCCCTCGAGGCCACCCCCGAGATCTTCGGGGACTCCTGGCGCCTCAGCCCCCTCTGCCCCGARGCCGACGGACACCGCCCACACCCCTGTGACGTACGGGGACGGGGGGACATGGGGGACCTGAGGGACATGGAGGGATGGACGGGTGACATGGCAAGACAGAGGGACTGGCGGGGTACACGGCGGGATACGGGGAGACACGGAGGGGCTGGCGAGGGGAGACAGGGTATAGATAGGGTGACACGGGAGCTGGTAAGGAGGGCTGGCAGAGGGACAATGGAGGATACAAGGGTTGGCGGGGAGACATTAGAATACCCCAAAGAACATGGGGGCTGGATGGGGAGACACGGGAGGCAGTGGGGGCCGGATGGGGACACAGCGGTGCCTATGGAGTGTCCCCTCCCAGGACGCTTAGCCTAAGCTGCACCGACCTTACAGGGGGCAGTTGGGGACTGGTGAGGGACTGAGGCTCAATGGAGGGACACAGGAGGACACGGCAATCTGAGAGGGGGCACAGAGGTAGCGGAGCTCTCGCATGGGGCACGGAGTCTGACGGGGTGTCCCCCCACAGGAYAGCCCCCAGCGCTCAGCCTGGGCGCGGGGGCGCTGCGGGGTCCTGCGGCACCAGCTCTTCGCCCCCTGCCACGACCTGGTACCCCCGCAGCGATTCTACGAGTGGTGCCTGTTCGACGCCTGCGGGTGAGTTTGGGGGGCTGGGGGGTCCCCAAGCCCCAAGATGGGTCCCGGGCCCTGTCCCACGGCGCGTGCCCCAGGTGTGACAGCGGCGGTGACTGCGAGTGCCTGTGCACGGCCCTCGCCGCCTACGCCGAGGAGTGCGGCCGGCGGGGGAGACCACTGCGCTGGCGGAGCCAGGGGCTGTGCCGTGAGTCCGGGGGACCGGGGGGTGCGAGGGGCTGGGGCGTTCTCATCCTGCCGGGGGCTGTGCCGTGAGTCTAGGGAATACCGGGACTCCGGGGGGTCCGGGGGGACCGGGAGATACCGGGGGGGTCCAGGGGGCTGGGGGACATGGGAGGTCTCATCCTGCTCCTGTACAGGCGGAGCCGGGGACTGTGCCGTGAGTCTGGGGGGGAGGGGGTCCCGGAGGGGGCACAGGAGGGCCTGGGGGGAGCCCGGGGACATAGAGAAGTCCGGAGTGAGCCCCCCCATGGGATGTGCCAGGGCTGGGAGCCGGGCAATGGGTCTGGGGGTGCAGGAGCCCCCCATGAGGTAATGGAGCGGGAGGAGGGGTCCGACCTGTGCCCCCCATGGGGCTGTGGGACTGAGGCGGGGGCAAGAGCCCCCCGTGGGGTTGGGGGGTGCCAGGCTGTGGGGTGGGGGATTCCAGCACCCCCGAACCCCCTCCAATCTCTGCAGCTCTCCAGTGCGAGGGGGGGCAGGAGTACAGCCCCTGTGGCCCCCCCTGCCCCCCCACCTGCCGCGACCTCGGCCGGGACCCCTCCGAGCTCTGCGGGGCCCTGGGATGTCTCGAGGGCTGTTTCTGCCCCTCCGGGCGGGTTCTGCACGGTGAGAGGGGGCTGGGAGGGGGGTCTGGGGGCCGGAAGAGGAGTGGGAGGTGGCTGGGGAGGGGAGGGAGCTGGAGGGGGGACTGGGGAAGGATGGGGGAGACTGGGGGGCCGGGGGGGTCACGGTGCCACCCCTGCGCCCCCTCTGCAGACGGACTGTGCGTGGATCCCCCCGCCTGTCCCTGCTTCTGGGACGGCTTCGCCTTCCCGGCCGGGGCCACCGTGACCCAGGGCTGCAGCAACTGGTGAGGCGCTGGGATCCCGGTGTGATCTGTACTGCGGTACTGGGACACCAGGATGTGACAGACTGGCTTTCTGGGACAGTCGGACACCGGGACACTGGAACACTTGGGAGACCAGGACATGGGGACATGGGGAGAGAGACACTGGGATATTGGGCTACTGGGATACCAGGGCACAGGGACACTGGGATATGGGAGTACTGGGACACTTGGACCCCCAGACACCGGGACACCAGAATCGCAGGACACTGGGATACCGGGACACTGTGACACTGGGGTAGCAGAATACCGGAACACCGGGGCGTGGAGACGCTGGGATATTGGGCCCCTTGGACCCTTGCAAGTCTCATCTGTCTCCCCCTTCCCAGCACCTGCCTCGAGGGGCGCTGGCAATGCCCCCCAACCCCGTCCCCGTGTCCCGCCGCTCCCGGCTGTGCCCCATGGGAATTCCGGTGCCGGGGCGGGGGTCTCTGCGTGCCGGGGGCTTGGCTCTGCGACAACGAGGACGACTGCGGGGACGGCTCAGACGAGCTGTGCGACCCTCCCTGCGCCCCCCATCAGCCCCGCTGCCCCGGCGGGCGCTGTCTGCCCTGGGGGGCCCGATGCGACGGTGTCACCCACTGCGCCGACGGCTGGGACGAGGCGGGATGTCCCCCCCACCCCTGCGCCCCCCCCGAGTTCGCCTGTGCCGGGGGTCGCTGCCTCCCCCCCGCCCGGGTCTGCGACGGGCGGCTCGATTGTCCCCCCGGGGACGACTCGGACGAGGCGGGTGAGCGACCACGGGGGGCTCGGGTGGGGTCCTGGGGATGGASGGGGAGACTGCTAGGAGTTTTGGGGTCCTTGGGGTCCCTGAGCCCCCTAACCCTGGGGGTCTGTGCTCCATAGTGAGGGTTTCTAAGCCCCCCCAGCCCTGGGGGGTCTGTGCCCCACAGCAGCGTCTGGAGGTTCCGGGGGTGGGAGCTGCTTGGGAGAAGTGTCTGTGCCCCCCGGGGTGCCAGTGCCCCTCGTCGGGGTGTCCGCGCTCCACTTGGGGGTCCCGTCCCCGCAGGCTGCGCCCCCCGGTGCGGGCCAGGGCAGTTCAGGTGCGCGGGGGGCCGGTGTGTCCCGTACCCCTATCGCTGCGATGGCCGCGACGACTGCGGGGACGGGAGCGACGAGCGCGGCTGCGCCTGCCCCGAGGGCCACCTGCCGTGTCCCGGAGGGGGCTGCCAGCCCCCCGCCGCGCTCTGCGACGGCCGCCGCCACTGCGCCGACGGCTCCGACGAGGCCAATTGCCCCGGTGAGGGGCGCGGGGGGGACAACTGCTCTGGCAACCCCGCCTGAGAACCCCGACCCCTCTGCCCTGGGACCACCCAACAGGGGAGCCTCGCCTGGGACTCTCCACCTTGGGACCCTCCACCCTGGGACCCTCCACTCTGGGACCCCCCTTTGGGGACCCATCCGCCCCGACAGCCTCCCGACCCAGAGACTCCTCCCACCTGGGGATCCCCTACCCGGGATCTCCCCCTTTGGGGACTCCCCACCCTGTAACCTTCCCACCCAGGGCACCCCCTGGGTCCACCTACGTCCCTAGGACCACCCCCCTTGGGGCACCCCCGACCCCGGCACCCCCACACCTGGGACCCCTCCTTTGGACACCTTTTCCCCATGGCGGCTCTGTCACTGTTGTTCCTGTGTCCCCAGTGCGGGCCACTTGTGCCCCCGGGACCGTCCCCTGTCCCGATGGCTCCTGCGTGGCGGAGGTCGCTGTGTGCGACGGCGCTCGCGACTGTCGCGATGGCTGGGACGAGAGTCCGGCAGGCTGCGCAGTGGCGCTGCCCCCCGCGCCGCTGTCACCTGTCACCGCTGTTACTTCTGTCACCGCCACTGTCACCGCTGTCACCGGCATTGTCGCCAACGCTGTCACCGCCGACACTGCCATCGCGATCGCCAGTGCCAACGCCAGCGGCACCGCCATCACCACTGTCGCCAACACTGTCACCGTCAGTGACACTGACGCTATCGCCCACACTGTCACCGACACTGCTACTGTCACCGCCGCTGTCGCCAACACTATCAGCGTCACTGACACTGTCCCAGCCACTGCCAGCGTCTCTGCAGGTGAGGTGGGGTCGRTGAGACCTGGGTATGGCCGGGGACCCCGGGGCGATGGGGACCCTGGGTCAGGTGGGCTCCAGGGCACGGGTGAGTCCCCCCGTGGGCTGGGTGGGCTCCATGGGGTGGGCGGGTTCTGTGCRTGAGGCGGCTCCATGGGATTTGAGGAGTCGCAGTGGGACAGGCGGGATCACGGACAGGCGGACCCCATAAATTGGGTCAGTCTGTGCTGGGGGGGCTCCGTGGGTCGGGAGGGCTCCGCAGAGCCGGGGGCCCCTGGGGCTGGCGGTGCCCGCAGGTGCCGCAGTTCCGGGGCTGCGCTGTGCCCCGGTCACGGCGGGGGAGTTGGGGGGCTCCGTGGGTGGGTGGCCCCAGCGGCGATGTCCCCTAACCCCGCCATTCCCCCGCAGCGCCCTGTCCTCCCCKCTCCCTGCGCTGTGACAGCGGCGGGTGCGTCCCGCGGGGATGGCGCTGCGATGGTGACAGCGACTGTCCTGACGGCAGCGACGAGGGGGGCTGCGACCCCCCTTGCGCCCCCGGCCACTTGCCCTGCGACCCCCCCTGCGACCCCGGACATCACCCCTGCGTCCCCGCCTGCGTCCCCCCCCGCCACCTCTGCGACGGCGTCCCCCACTGTCGCGACAGCGCTGATGAGAGACCGCAGCTGTGCGGTGAGACCCCGGGATCCATCTCCGGGGACATCTGAAGCGGGGAGGTCTGGGAGTCCCCCCGTGTCGCCTCTTGGGGACCCGAGGGATGAGGAGGGTAATCTCCGGGGTGCTTTGGGGAGGGGATGGGGAACTTAGCAGTGAGGGGACCCCACCAGAGGGGCCTTGGCAGCGGACACTCCCCCCATCACATCCTCCCCCCGTACCCCAAGGACCCCTAAGAGGTCCCTGGGGAACCCTCTGAGTCTGCCCTGTCCCTTGAGGATCCCTCAGAGTTCCCCTSCCCCGTCTAGRGCCCCCCGGCCCCGGGAGCAGCCCGGGGGATCCCTGCGCCGAGTTCGCCTGCGGGGATGGGGAATGTGTCACCTTCCAGCAGGTAACGGGGGGCCAAGGGGGGCCCCCACTCGCCTGGGTCACCGCGGGGTCCCGGCGTGCTCCCGACCCCCTCCCGGTGCCGCCGTGCAGTCTCCGCAGCGTCCCCGATCCCTCCTGTTGTCACCCGCGTGTCCCGGCGTCCCCCCGACCCCTTTCCAGTGCCACTCAGGTGTCCCCTGCGCCTTCCCGGTGTCACCCCGATGTTCCCTCGATCATTCCCACGATGTCCCCGACTCCCTCCCGGTGCCACCCCCGGTATCCCCTGGTCCCTCCCGATTCCCCCTGGACTCCCCCCCGGTTTCCCTGATTCCCCTAACCCCTCCCAATGTCATCCCAGTGTCCCGGCGTCCCACGACCCCTTTCAGTGCCATTGTGGTGTCGCCCCGCTCCCTCCCGGCATTATGCCTGTGTCCCCAACTTCTGCGATGTCCCCCGCCGTGTCCCACCCTCTACACCCGCTCCGCCCCCTCTTGTCCCCGACCGCCGCGGTGTCCCCGCAGGTGTGTGACGGGGTGCGGGACTGCAGCTCGGGTGGGGACGAACGGGGGTGCGGCCTCTGGGGGCTCTGGGGGCCCTGGGGGTCCTGCAGCCGCCCCTGCGGGCCCGGGAGGCAGCGCCGCGCTCGGGGGTGTCACCAGCGTCACCCYGGGTTGCTGCGAGGGTGCCGGGGGCCGCGCGAGCAGGAGAGACCCTGCTTCCACCGGGCCTGCCCGGGTGAGCGTGGGGGAGACCCCGGGGTTTGGCGAGGGGAGTTTGGGATGCCGGGGCGGGTTTGGGGTCCTGGGGACAGCGCGAGTGGGAGCGACCCTGATACCACCACGTCTGCCCAGGCAAAAAAGAGGGGGCTTGGGCGGGATCCCGGGACTTGAGGGTGTCAGGGGGGTTGGACGTCACTTGGGGTACCTGGGGTGTTTGAGGGTCCCCATGGTCCAGGCTGCTCGGGGGGGTTCAGGGATCCTACAGTCCGAGGGGTTTGGGGGTTCTGMGGCCCCCCCGTAACTCGCTCCCCCCGCAGTGGACGGTGCGTGGGGCCCGTGGGGGCCCTGGTCCGACTGCCCCGGGGGCTGCGGGGGGGTCCGTCTGCGCAGGAGGGAGTGCCGGCCCCCCCAAAACGGCGGCCGAGCCTGCGAGGAGCTGCCCCGAGGAACCCCCGGAGCCCTGGAGATGGGTGAGTGCGGAGGGGGGCAGGCGAGGGGCTCGGAGGAGGGTCTGGGGTGGGGGTCCAATGGCATAAGGGAAGGCCATGGGGTGGAGGGCTCCCAGCGGGACTCTGGGGGCAGGGGGCCCAGTGGGGTGGGGATTCCCGGGGGAATAGGTGGGTTCCGTGGGGCAGATGAGCTCCACCGACTGGCGAGGCTCTGTGGGTGGGGGGCTCTTCCCAGGGCGAGGGGGCTTTGTGGGACAGGTGGGATGGGTGGGCTCCACAGAGTGAGGGGTTCTGGGGGGAAGAGGGGCTAATGGGGCAGGTGGTCTCTGTGTCTGACCCCTGCCCCCAGACCCTTGTGCCCAGGGGGGATGCCCCGACGCCTTGGAGTGCGCTGGTGGACTGCGCCCCCTCCCCTGCGCCCCCTGCCCCGCCTCCTGCGCCGACCTGGCCGCCGCCATCACCTGCCCGCGGCCCCCGCCCTGCCGCCCAGGTGAGGGGGACCTGGGGGACCGGGGGGAGCCCCCCAATGTGAGTGGCACCCTCTGACCCCCCTCCCCACCAGGGTGCTGGTGCCCGGCGGGGCAGGTGCTGGACGCCCCCGAGCCCGGCGCAGGGTCCCCGGGGTGCGTGCGGCCGCGGGAGTGCCCGTGCCAGGCCGGGGGGCGCAGGTATCCCCCGGGCGCCCCGGTGCCTCTCGGTTGTCGCCTCTGCACCTGCCTCGAGGGGCACCTGCGACACTGCCGCCCCCACCCCGGCTGCTCAGGTGGGTCCCGGCGCGGGGCGATGTGCGAGGGCACTCCTGGTACCGGTGGGGACCTGCGGTACCCGCGCGTCACCGCGGCGATGCCAATGGTACCCCCAGCTGTCGCCGCGGCCGTGCCCGGGGGTCCCCCGGTGCCCGGGTATCCCCGCCCCGGTGCCGGCGGGCCCCGGGTGACCCGGTGCCCCCCACAGTGGACTGCGGGTGGTCGTCGTGGTCGCCGTGGGGCGCGTGCACGGGTGCCTGCGGGGCCCCCGGCGTGCAGTGGTCTTTCCGCAGCCCCTCGAACCCGGCCCGGCGAGGCGGAGGAAGGCACTGCCGCGGCATCTACCGCAAGGCCCGACGGTCAGCGGGGCCCGGGRGTGGCGGGGGAACTGGGAGGTTCCCCCCGTGTGTGACCGCCCCTCTCCGCAGATGCCACACGGCGCCGTGCCCGCGGTGCCAGGAGCGGGGCCGGTGGCGCGTCCCCGGCGAGCGCTGGCGCGGGGGCCCCTGCCAGGTGTGCCAGTGCCTGCCAGGGGGAGCTGTCCGGTGTGTCCCCTACTGTCCCCTCCACGACACCGGCTGTCCCCAGGTGAGTGGGAGTCGCGGGGGGGGCGGGAAGAGCCGCAGGTGACGGTGACGCTGCCGGTGTCTCCAGGGCCAGGTGCTACGGGAAGGTGACGGAGGGTCCTGCTGCACCTGCGGCCCCGCGGGTGAGTGAAGGGTTCCGAGGTGTCCCGGGAAGGGGGAGGTGACCCTCAACCCCTCGGCGCTGTGCTGTGACCACCACCGCTGCAGGTGACAACGCCACGGCCACCCCACCCGGGATGATGACAGCTCTGACTCCCGCAATGCCGGCCGAGGCCCCCGGCAGCTCCCGGTACGGGAGGGGCAAGGGCGGGCACCGGGATTTGGGGGTCCCCAAAGCCRGGGGACACTGGGGGCCTCCCCCTCTTATCTTCCTCTCCCGCTCTGCCCACTCCAGCCCCACGGCTGGGCCCGAGGAGCCGCCCCGCCCCCCGCCGCCAGGGTGGCCCGAAAGTGCCGAGACTTCCCTGGTATCCCCCAGCGCGGCCGAGGGCACCCCCGGAACTGCGACCCTGCCCGAAGACACCCCGAGTCTCCCCGGAGGCTCCGCGACGCCCCACGAGCCTCCCCAATTCAGTGCATTGCCCTCGCCCGCTCCCACTGCGGTGCTCGCCACCACCCCACCAGGTGGGGAGGAAAGACCMCCAAAAACCGTCCCGCCGGGATTGGGGAGTCCCGGTGGAAGGCGCGGATGAGTTCCTAAAACAGCCCCCCAGAAACGGGGGGTCCCTGGGGCAAACGGTACCCGCGGCGTGGCTGGGGGAGCTGGGCGGTTCGAAGCTGGGGATTGCAGGGGCGAGCCCCCAACACACGGGGGTCACCCTGCCCCCCCGTGTCCCTCAGGCTGCGTCCCCCCGCCTTGGGGGGGGTGGGGGTCCTGCAGCCGCTCCTGCGGGGTGGGGGTCGCTGTGCGGCGCCGGAGAGGGACCCTGCCCGAGGGGGGCTGCGCCGACCCCCCCGACATCGACACCCGCGTCTGCTTCCTGCGAGCCTGCCCAGGTACCCCCAAACCCCCGGGAGCCCCGGGGGGCTGCAACCCCAATAGGAGGGGAAGACTCCCATTATGGTTGGGACCCACAGCCGTCAGGGCTCGCCGTGGGGTGGGACTGGTCCCCATTCCCGGGGTGGACCCCCAAAACGGGCRAGACCTCCGAAATCTGGGACCCCCACAGTGGGTGGGAGCCCCCATCCCCAGGTTGGGGGGAATCCTCAGGGTTGAGGTGGTCTCGGGGGCTTAGGGTCCCCAGTGCGGGAGTCWCTGGGTTAGGGGTTGGCTCTGGGGCAGTGTGGGGGTGCTGACCCCTCTGACCGCCCCCGTGCCCGCCCAGTGGCGGGCGGGTGGGCGCCCTGGGAGTCCTGGAGCGCCTGTGATACCCCGTGCGGGGGCGGACAGCGGAACCGCCGCCGCAGCTGCAGTGACCCCCCGCCAAAAAACGGGGGGCGACCGTGCGAGGGGGGTGCCCTGCAAAGCCGGCCCTGCAACCTGCGGCCCTGCGGGAGCACCCCAGGTACGGGGCGGGGGTGGGGACATCCCCATCTCTGCTCTCCTACTGTCCCTAAGTCCCCACATTGCCCTCCCCAACCACCCCCTGATGCTCCCGACCCCTCCAAAATCCCCGTGCCCATCCAATCCCCCCCAGCTCCCCAAGTCCCCCGAATTCCCCTAAGTGCCCACACTCCTCCATCTCTGACCACGTCAATCACCTCCCCATCCCTTGCCCCCTACCCTGACCCCCAAATTTTCCCCGGCGCCCCAAATCTCCCCCGAGCCCTCTCCTTCCTTCCCACTGACCTCCCAGTGTCTCCCCCAGCCTGTCCCCCCCAGATGCTGCTGGTACCCCCGCGGGGATGCGAGGATTTGGGGGTCCCCCCTTGCCCCCCCAGCTGTGGTGACCTGAGTGGGAACAGCTCGTGCCCGGGGGACTGCGAGGAAGGTCGGGGAGACGCGGGGGGAGGGCTGGAGGAGAGGTTGAGGGACACGGGGAGTCTTGGGAGGGTCTCGGGGCGGGGGCGACGTAGGGAGGGTTATCGGGGGGTTTGGGGGGATTTGGGAACTTGGAAGGGCATGGAGGATGCTTGAGGGGGCTTAGGGAGAACTTGGGGAACTGGGAGAGAACTTAGAGAGGATTTGGGAACTTTGGGATGAGCAGGGAGCAATCCGAGTGAGTGGGAGGGAGGATTTAGGGGTCGTTGGCGGGTGTAGAGGGGACTGAAGGCCCCCTGAACCACCCCTCCCACCCCAGGCTGCCGGTGCCTGCCCGGGCTGGTCCTGCAGGGAAGCGACTGCATCGAGCCCAGGTACCCCAAAACCGCACTGTACCCCAAATCCCACCCCACCGTGAAACCTGCTCTGCCCAAAACCCACCTGTACCCCAAACCCTGGTGTTGGGGGTCCCCAGGAATGGAGGCCCCCTGAACATTGGGGGCTCCCCATGATTTGGGGCAACCCTCCATTTCCCTCCAGCACCTGTGGGAGCCCCGCGGGGATGTTGGGGGTCCCCGGGAAGTGGGGTCCCCCTGAATCTTGCGGGTGGTCACGCTGGACCCCCTGGACCCGCTGCGACTGCGGTACCAAGACCCGACAGCGTTTCAGGTATGGGGCTGCTCCACAGCGGAGGGCTCTGACCGATAATGGGGTGTCTGACCCATAGCGGTGGGCTCTGACCCATAGCGGGGGGCTCTGACCCATAGCTTGGGGCTCTAACCATAAGAGTGTCTGGCCCATAGTGTGGTCCTGCCGCATAACGGGGGGTCTCTGCCCCACGGCGATGGGGTCCTACCCCGCTTCCCGCTCCCCACAGGTCTCCCACCAACCCCGTGGCAGCGGCCGGCGGTGCCCCCTGCGCCGGGACCCCCCGAGARGTTCGGGGCTGTCCCGAGCTCTGCGGACCCGGTACGTGGCAGKAGCCCCCCGAGCGCCCCGGTCCCCGGGAACCCCGAGTGCCACCGCGGCCCCTCGAGTGCCCCATGTCCGTCTGTCCTCAGAGCCCAGGAGCACGGAGCCACCCGGGGCCACCGAGACCCCCGAGTCGCCGTGGGTCCCGGAGCCCAAGTGGGTCACAGAGTCGCCGTGGATCCCGGACTCGCCGGGGGTCCCGGGGTCGCCATGGGACACAGAGTCGCCTTGGGTCCCGGCGTCCCTGGAGCCGCCGTGGGTTCCAGAGCTCCCGGAGTCCCCGGAGTCCTCAGAGTCCCCAGACTCCGCTCGTGGCCGGTGGTCGCCGTGGGGCACAGAGCCCCCAGAGTCCCCGCGGGTCCCGGTGTTGCCGTGGAGCACAGAGTCCTCGGAGTCCCCCCGGTCCCCGAAGACCCCGGTCCTCGCCCGTGGCCGGTGGTTGCCGTGGGGGTCCTGGGGCAACTGCAGCGCCCCSTGCGGGGGTGGCGAGCGCCGGAGGCACCGGGGATGCGGCGCTCCCCCGTGCCCGGGGCCGGCCCTGCAGAGCCAGAGCTGCCACAGCCACGTGTGTCGCGGTGAGTACGACACGGGGACCCCGAGACAGGGACCGCGAGACAGGAGTCCCAACCCGGAGCCCCTCACCCAGAGATCTCACTCAGAGCCCCCTACTCACAGATGTGCCCTGTCCCACAGCGCTGTCCCATAGACGCCCCTAGAGCCCCCACAGCGCTGCCCCTCATCCCCACCCACAACCCCCCATGGGTGGACACTGAGCCGGGTGTCGTCGGGGGGCAGAGATCGGGTGCCCCAGGGGTGCCATGGGGGTATTTTGGGGGAGGGGGCGCAGAGGCCGGCTGCCCCCAGGTATTGAGCTTTTCCTTCGGGRTGGGGGGCAGAGGCCGGGTGCCCCCCCGGCCGGACGTTCCGTGAGTGCGGGGGAAGCTCTGGGTGCCCCCGGAGCTGCGCCCATCTTGGGGGGGCCGTGGGGTGCGCGGAGGGGTGCCAGGAGGGCTGTCACTGCCCCCCCGGGACCCTCCTGCACCGCCATACCTGCCTGCAGGTGAGACCCCTGGGCGACCCCCCGATGGRTGCTGCCCCCAGATCCTGGGGTGGGAATTATGGGCTGGGGTCCACAAATCCACGGGTGCCCATCAGAGGGGTTGGGGGTTC